AAAAAAAAACATATTTAAAAAAAGCGAATCACTGGTATTACAGGAAAGCTGTTATGGAAAAATTGTTTCTCTCTAAAATCAGATTTTTTGTTGTTAAACAAAAACAAAGGATGGCAAAAAAATCTTCTTTTAGAAAGATGTTGATACTGTTGAGTGAAAAGAATTGTAAAGCAGAAGAAGAAACATTGTTCTTAGCCAGTAGAATAGAATTTAAAAAAAAAAATAAGAAAAAAAGACAGAAAAAAAGAACCAAACTAAAGAAGAAAGTTATCTTTTTTTTTGGGTTTCAAAAGTAACAGTTATAAGACGAATTTTAATATACAATGAAATTTGCATAAATTACCGTTGTTACTGCTGCTGTCACTACCGTTACTGTTAGTTTTCTGTTGTCATTACAGTCAAAAACAAAAAAAGATTCAGCATCAGTTACAACTTTTAAGTGCCTAATTAATTTAAGGAAACAAATTGTAAAAGCAAAGTTAAATTGTTGGAAAAAAAGTGAAAAAAAGTTTTTCAAATAGCAAAAAAAAGAAAGAGGAAAAAGAATTATTTAGATTATAAAGATAAGAATATTAAACTGACAATATCACAAACGATAAATCCACTGTTAATTAGGCATTCTAAACGTCGTACTTTTGTTTTATTTTTATTTTTATTTTTATTTTTATTTTTATTTTTTTTTTTAACGAAATATAAGTTCCATCATCCACCACGGTTCGGAGCCCCAACCATATCCATCGTCTGTTTTTTTTTTTGTCTGTATTTGGTATGTGTGTTTGTCTGTGTGTGTTTGTGTGTGTTTTTTGTGTAGTATCCGTTATGAATCTGTTGAGTGTTCAGCTTCTTACATATTACGTGTTTCACTCTGAAAATAAAATTGCAGTAACAATTATGACAATAAAAACAATAAAAAGTTGTAACATTTATGCATTTTTGACAATGTCTGTGATTTGACCACAAAAAGAGCCTCCTTCTTTTCATAACATTCAAAAGCAAATTATTAGTGATTAATTATTGAGTGTGTGTATGCGTAAAAAATAAATGAAATAAAGTAAAAAAGCGATAAAGTAAGCCAATGAAAAAAGAAAGAAACGACGAAATAGTACCTGTATTACGTAGTCTCTATTAAAATGACTTTTATTATCTACAAATGATGTTCGTCCAACTGGATCAACGCTAACTGAACGATGCCAAGCTTCACCGGTACCGTCTGGACGATAGTGCATTCCGTCGCTTTCACCTTTCCATGATCGTTCTGAATATTCCTCCAGTAAACGTCCAGTATCGTCACGGGTTAGCCATTTGTCCGTAACAGTTCGTTCCGTAACTCCTACAAAGAAATGCTGTTCAATTTTTCAAGTTGATTTGGTTTCCATTTTACATTTGTCTAAAACTTAGTATTTTTAACTACTCATACTGTTTTTTAGCATACCAACTTAGGGTAATAATATTAAAATTAAAAAACTGCTTTTTTAACACTGTAAACTTGAAACTTCTGAGAGGCAATTTTCACAGCTTTGTTATTAATTTTTTTTTCTAGCGACTGGTAAAAATATAAATAAAATTTAAAAAAAAAAAGTATAAAAAATGTATTTTTTTTTTGCAAAAGAAGGAAAAACGAGAAAATATTTTTGCAAAAACTAAACTAAGAAAATACCCTACTTCTACATGAAGTGACCGTTGACGGTAGTAAAAGATCCCAATTTTCTTTAGATACTTCAGCACCAGTCGCATTGCTTTGTGGAGGCCATTGTCTACAACAAATTTTATATTTTCAACCACTTAAAACAACAACTGCAAAAATAAAAGTTTTCCAAAAAAAACAAAAAAAAAAAAAAAAAAGAAAGCAAAACGCTAAAAAGGGACTTTGATATTGTTCGAACAACACTGGAAGATCGTGGTTCTGTGGTGTGAGATCGATGTCGTACATAACTATTATTATGGTTATAGTAACCACTATAAAAAAACTTTTGAATATTCACTGATAATTAAGATATATTTCAAGTTATATTTTCTCAGTAACAGTATTTACATTATTTCGCCATCAAAAATTCTCCGGGAAAAGTCGAACTATAAAAAATAATATAAAATTTGCTTTTCTTAAAAATTCTTTTGTCTAAATCTTTATCTGCATATTTAATGTGCGTAGTGCACAAGAAAAAAAACTTTCAAATTGTCTACAATAAATAATGATTGATTTTTTAGCAGCAATTTTTTTTGTTTCTGACCAACCTTATTGATGATCAGATTTTTGGAACAGTTGTCGGAACTATATTATATGTAATTTTTGTTGCTGTAATTTTTTTTTTACATCTGTAAAGTGCCGATTAGATAGATAATCAATTGAATCAACAACTACCCGGTTTCTTGTTTGTTGTTTGGTGAGGAATACATGTAACTTTTGTACATTCGATGAGGTGGCCTGGATCGTTGTGTATAATATGACATTGCCATATTCTGCAGTTTATCGTAGGGTGTTGTGGATCTGGACGACTGTGATGTATAGTCATATGGTGTGTATGGTACCGATGAACCGTAGATACCGTCGTAGTTTCCAGGTGTTTCTGAACGCGTAACACTTTCGCTGCGCATTGCTTTACGGTTAATCGAATTTCTCAGCTCTTCAGCTTCACGTACTGGCGAAAAAACACTTCGACCCATCAAAAATGCATCATCGGTTAATGGACCCGACCTGTAAAAATTTGAATGATTTGTACTGCTATAATTATTGTTGGTTTTCACCTGCTCTTTTCTCTTTTTCTTTTTCTTTATTAGTTAAGCTATTTTGGCAAGTATAATTCTTATAAGTTATCTAACAAGTATTAGAAGAAAAATATACTCAATAAACAAATGACGGTGAAAATGTTTATTGTAAACTGAATTAACTAGCAACTACAAAAGAAGAAAAAAAAAAAGAAAAAAAAATGAAAGATAAACAAGAACAAGTTTTAAAGTCTGAAGTCAGCATTAATTGTTATCCAATATTTTTGGCTCTTTTTGCGAAGTCAAAGATGAAAATTTATCACGAAGATTTGTTTTTTCTTGACATTAAGCAAACAATCAAAAAATCAACTTTTATTTATTGCTTCTTTTTATTTTTTAACTCTATTTTTATTTTTTGGTAATGAATAGCACACAAAAACCAAAGAAAACGATGAAATCAACGAAGGCACTATCGTATTGTCAATGGCGCTATTTATATGAGAAAGTTGGTGTGTAATCGTTCTGTCGTTACTCTATCGCCTCATATTTGATGGAAAAGGTAAACGAAAATGTGGGGCACTGATGAAAAAACATTTGGTGGTTTACAAGAAATCAATTTGTTATTAGAAATCAAGAAAATAGATGTCCAAAAAAATAAATAAATAGAAAGAAAAAATGGGGAAGCTAATTTACTGTTTATAATCATGTTGTGTAGTATCCACAGTAATCGGTCGACTTTGAACAAACGGTTTTGCTGAAGCTGTATCCATTCGATAGGTTTGTGAAACAGTTCCAGAGCTCTGTCGTGAAATTCGTTCAGCTGGTACCGGGTAATCTTGTGACGGAGGCACTTCTGTATGTTGAGTCGAATAGGTGATAGGTTCAGTCAACTTTCTGCTACTTGTAACCGTCCAGTCATCAATACTATGTTCGTATTCAGGTTTCTCCTTAAAGAGAATAATTGAAAATATTACTTTTAAAAAAAAAAAAATGCTTTTTAGCATACAAATAATGCTTATTAACCAATAGGTATAGGTTAATTACAACAATTAAAATCTTTTAATTGCTTTATAAAACTTATTTTATTACTTTCGTCTTTTATGCTTTTTCGAAAATATACATGTACACTGAAAAAAAAAAATTTTAGAAATTTTTTGCTATATTTCGCTACAACTTTTGTTATATGCAACATCAAATGTAGATATTGTCAAATAGATAAAATTTTTTAAAAATTTTACAAAAGAAAAACAGCGTAAATGCAAAATCAAGAAAAAAAAAATAGACGTCTTTCTGCATTTCAAGTTTCTTCTCTCGTTCTCGAATCTTCATACTTGCTTCAGCAGTAATCTCTGGTGGAAGTACTTGAACGGCACCTTTTGGTACCTAAAGAACAACATTTAAAAAGTGTTCTTTAAAATTGATCAAATGAATTAGGCAAATTTAATTGTGGTCTGAATAATTTACATTCAGTTTTCAAACTTTATCACTGCTTTTAATTTGTCAACTGTTCTTGGCAAAAATTTTTTCTCATCGTTACATAGGGTTTAACGATACGTTTAGTTTATTAGACACCACTTATACCAGCCTATAAACCTCAACTAAAGTTTCAGAACCTGCATCAGCATCCAAACGATATTATTATCATTGGTATAAGTGCCATTTGATAAATCTGAATGACTGTAAGTTGTAAAAAAAATGGAGAAAATATTACAACATAGATTAGCGTAAAATTTACCTTTTCCATCAAACCATCTTCAGCATTTGCGGCATCTGTATCCGACAGTTTGACAACTTCATCAGACGATGTTACGGTAATTTTCCAAATCGGAAATGTTGGTGGCACCGGCGGTGGTGGTGGTGGTGGAATTCGACCATCTACTGGTGTTTCGGTATCTTCAACAGCTTCATAACGATAAAGAAGTTTTACTTTAGTGGTTGCATCGAAGTGCTCATCCTCTACATTTCTGTCTATTTTGTTTCTCTCCAATTCCGTCTCTACAGAATCGTTTAGTTTAAATTTGTCAGAAAAAAAAAGCAGGAAAAAACAAGGAGAACGAGCGAAAAAAAAAATTCAGAAAAAAACTTATTCTTATTTGAAAAAGAATGTTAAACTTTGTTGTTTTCGTCCATTTTTTTCCTCTGAAAATATACATATTTTTTCTTGTGTATTTTTGTGTTTGTGTGTGGTAATCTCTGCTCTGTTCTTTAGCTGCAAATTATAGCCTCAGTTGTTATGCTGAGGTGTAAATTACCTGCGTAACTATGTTGTACCAATTTTTCGTTATCCTCAATCAACGGCTGTTCAGCGTTAAACTCTTTTGTCAGATCATTCAAGGTTTCTTCATTAAAACTACTCTGTATACTTTCTGCTACATTTGGAGGCGCTGAATCGGAACTCCAAAACACGATTCCAAATAAGGCTTTTAGTATCCAAAAAATTATTCGTAATAATAAACTAATAATAAAATATATACAGCATCCAGTTTGATATGAATAATATTTTAATCTTTGCCAATAATATCGCCAAGTGCTGCTTGTCGGTTTGATAGTGGTGCTGTTGATGGTTGTGGTGGCAGTGGCAGTAGTGGTAGTTGTTGTAGTGGGTGCTGAAAACGAAAAAAAATGACAGAAATAAACTCAAAAAAAAAAATTTTTTTTCGTTGTTAAAAATAGATTAAGTATTTTCTTTTTTTCTTTCTTTCATTGCTTTTGCTGTTCGCTCAAACCTGATGATTTATCACCAAATTGGAACGGTTCCTGTTTTTGTTGAGTAAAACTTTTACAGGCATTCGAATTTTGATTATGCAAACAGCACTTTGCTGATGTTGCTGAACTATCGGTAGCTGTACGATTATTGTTGTCCACTTTTTTCCATTCTGGTTTTTCCCTGAAAAAAAAAAAAAGAAGAAAAAGAATGAGTACAGAAGAATCAAAAAGAAAAAAAATTTCAAGAAATACAAAAAAGCGGAAGCTGTGGTTTCACATGTCTGAAATAAATTTGAGGTTTCAATAGAAATTGTTCTTTTTTTTTTTGTTAATACAAGGGCATAGTAAGAAGTGTAAAATATTTTTGTTTCCTGCAGCTTTACGATCACTGTTGCTGTTTGTTGTGATCGTTATTAGTGAATAAAACTAATGATTAAAATTGATCATATGTTGAAAAGAACAACAAAAAACCAATGCTAGTTTTATAGATTATCAGCCATACTTAACACCTCCTTAGCTTGAAAGGTTTCTGTTTTATTTGTTTTTTACCTTAGAAATTAGATTTGCTGTTAGGAAATTTATACAAACTTATAAGTGATCAAATTGTGATTTCCAAAGTGTTCGGAATGATCCAGAATTTTTGTAAAAAGAATTTCTGAAACAGAATGATGTGTTTTATGATGTACCAAAAACTTACTGAGCAACATTTTTTGTGTCTCAACAGATATCGCTTATTCGTCAGAGTTTCCACATAATTTATTTTTTAACACAAATTTAAAAGTTTAAATTTTTTGGTATTTCTTTAGAAGACAACTGAAATCGACTATTGTAATCTTTTCAAATTCGAAATATTCAATTCAGTTTTGATTAGCCATATTTTAAGCAATAAATGCTTGAAAAGATTACAAATTTTGGAATCATTAACAGCTGAAAATTAGCTATTGTAATCTTTTCAAATCATTCAGTTAATCATTTCAAACTGCTTGTAAATTTTAAGTGACACTTAAAAATGATCATTTTCAAATACAAGAAAAAAAAACTAAACTATAAAATCATTGGAATATACAGATATCTATTGTTAATAGTTCGTCGATTGAAGACAATCGTTACCCGTCTCCTCCTCTCCTAACCAATCTTTCTTCTCCTAATCCCAACATCCATCTGTCACCCAAACATTTAGTTCGAAAAAAAAAAATGATTTCTTCCACCCGATTCAATGCTGTTGACCAAAACTTAGTTAAAATGAGCTAATAAAATTGTGAACCAATTTATGAGGCGCCCATATTTGATACACGACATTCTACCAAAATAGAATCTCGTCAACAGTATCAACATAGATTGTCTGAACATGAATTCGCTGCTCAGGTAATTGTTGGATACCTATGTCAAGAAAAATTATTTGTTAGTATTACCGTTACTCAGTTTTCTCGTTATTTTTCTTCTTTGATACTATGACAGGACAAGTAGAAAGCGAAAAAAACGGTAAACAAGAGGAAAAAACCAAAATAAAAAAAGTAAACGACAACTAAACTTACTTGAAAAGAAAATAGACAAAATAAAATATGAATAGTATAAATTGATAAAGCGATGTAAGAAGGTTTAGGAGCATAGCCTGGGAATGAGTTTTCGGGGTGTTGTATATTTTCGTTAAAAATTACCACTGACAGCCGTTCATTTTACACACAGATTTTAAAAACCTCCTCAGCCAAACGTTATTTGTTTTCTATAACCATTATTACAAAACTTATCGGAGTGCTGTTGCTGCTACTGCCGCTCCCGCTGCTGCTTTTTTGCTTTTTCATTCAATGCTGCTGTTTTGCCTTTGTGATATTACCAAACCACCACAACACTGTCTGCCTTTTAGCTGTTTTTAGCACCGTCACGGTACTCAGAGAGGGGGGAGGGGGGCAAAACTATGTTTAAGCTCTGCTGATATACTTTTTTTTCACTTTTCTAATTCTTCTTCAACTTCTTCGTTTAAGTTCAACTTTACGTTATCTTAGCCAACAACCAAAACTAACTTGGCTGGCAAATTGTGTTGGGCTTTAGCTGTTCGTTGGTAAGCACAAAATCTTTGGTAAGCTGCACGTCTATAGGTTGTTGTACGAGCGTTTCATCGTCGATGTATGTATATTGTATGTCGTTGTTGTATGGTGTATGTACGTGTATGTGTGTGTTTGTGCTTTTGCAGTATATATCAGACCAACCGATAGTAATGTTGAAAAGTGAAGACTAAAATAAACTGAATAAAGAAGGCACTTTGAGATCAACAAAATCAAATGAAACTTTATTGTCTCAGGTATGTCCTGTCTTCAACAATTTTCCTTTATTGTTCTCGGGTGATAATAACAGTATACTGATGACTGAAAATATTGATTGAAAACATTGAATAATTAAGCTGTCACCAATTCCAACACAAATATTTGGATTATCAAATAGCATTTTACGAGACTTATCAATTCCTCCACTCTTCCACTGTCACTAAATTTCAGTTATAACTTTTAAACAGCAAACTGACCATATGCATCTAATTTTGTCTTACTATTACTCTTACTTTTGTTACTAACATTAGTAGTATGGAAGAGCTAGTGTTATTAATATGGTCAATGTTTTTTACGAGCTTACGCTCTGTTACAGCAAAAATTTTTTAGAAACAACGATAAAGCATTAAAGACGACTGTATTTGATGTTAAACAAGTTTTCCGATTTGTCCATAAATGAAGATTGAAAAAGTCGTAGCAGCTGGTGAATATTATAGTGCAGTAAAATACTTGTTAACTAATCACATTATTTTTAATGTTTGATTTTATCAGATCTAATGTTTTATTCGCTTCACAAAAAAAAAAATTTAAAAATTTTTTTGTTTTACTTTTTTATCCAATTTTTTTTTGTTTTTTATTAATGAAAAACAATTGTGAATTTATAACTGTTTATGTATGAACCTGACGAAGCCAAGATCTTCGTTGCTGCATCAGTTTTTTGTTGTTTTTGTTTTTGTTGTTGTTGCCAGCAAATTTTGCTTTTGTTTTGTTTTGTTTTGCTTCTTTTTTCAAAATCAATTTTCCAGTTCAATTTCATTTAACCTATTAGCAAAACCGTAGCTTAAACAGTGCAGCGATAAATACTAAACAGAAGTAAAAAAACAATTATAGTTGGTCTGTTAATCTTAATTATTTTCACTGAGTAGTCGCCATCTCATAATTTTACTTTACTAATGTTAATCTAATGGAAAAGCCACAATATCTGTTTGATTCCCACCCATTAATACTGATGGTGCTATATATATATATATATATATATATATATATATATA